ATGTACTAATGTCACTAAAATGAATGTGTTAAATTTGAGTAAATGATAAATCATTGCATATGTACAAAAACGATCGAAGACGATCTTGCCAACTTATATTACGAAGTATATTAATATTATAGTAATTAACTTTACTGCATATTACCACTAACTGTGGATTAAATAAATTATTTCCAAAAACATTAAATTTATTAAATAGGTACCTATTATTAACATATAATTATTATAGTAGTATTTAAACATTTTAATTTGTATAATATTATACTATTTTTATTAGCTTATAAATCAATACTGACTTAAAGTATAAAACAATGTAAATAAGTAAACTCATAATATAAATAGGTAAACAAACTAGTTATTTTTCGTTAAGACAACTAATTGTGTCAACATCTTATCTTAAAATTTTTATAATAAAAACTTATGTACTAAAGATACCTTATGGAAAACTTTTGAAAATAACTTATAAAGAACATTGTATTTATCAAACGTTTTGTTGCTATGAAAAAAACTAACAAGGAACTAGGAACATTGTATCGATTCAAAAGCTTTTTGATTATGATAATATTTGAATTTCAAACGATTAAAAGAATTAAAGTGGCTTAAGTTTTTAAGAGTATCTTATTTGTTAGTTCGAGAAAGAACATTTTATGAGCAATCGTGTTAATTGTATTTGTTTTTTTTTAGGAGTCTGTCATGGAAATCCAAACTGTACATGTATGCAGTTATTGTTGTTGGACTTACCAGTGGCTTAGTAGCTATGGCTACAGCTCTTTCTGAATTAATCGACCTGAGATCTCTCATTCCTCATTACTATTATTATTATTTCTATGATGTTGACAGTACTTTTAGCTAATAAATGGTAAGCATTAGTAACACAGATCTAGAAATTAAATATATTTACTATTATACTAGGTTAATGCATTGTTTTTATTAAGTAATAAAGTGTACTTATATTTTATTAAGTTAAGTTAAAAATTTTTTTTTACTGCAACTAGGTCTATACAAGTTATTTTTAACTCTTAAATTGATTTTCAGAAATATTTTTTGTAATTTACCTATCGTTGTAATTTAGCCAAAGTTTATGGTATGAAAATGAAAGTTAACTTAAATGCAGGAACTTATGAAAGGCATTATTAAGAATATAATTTACATTATTTTTTACATACATTTTATTTAAAATTATATTTTAAAACCTTCCAAAAAGAAGCAGCATTTGAGTTATTTTGATGAAATATATATTCCTCTATCTCTCTAACTATACTATAATATAAACTATTGGGATTATACGAGTAATATTATTAAAAAATAAGCTAAACAAAATTATTCATTACCTATACAGTGTATGGTATACCTATAGAAAGTGTATGGAAGCAGGTGACATTACCACATCGAGTTATTAAAAAAAAAAAATAGTTATTAATTTATTATCATTAACTATAGCATAATTTGTTGTTAAAAGTCTTAGTAAAATAAAAATCTTTAATACCAATTATAATGGCCTTCTTTCATTTCTTCAAAAATTTGCAACTGAAAAAAATTAAGCTGGTGCAAAATCTAATTGGTTTTTAAATCAAATACAAAAGTTCAACTTTTTTTATCATAAATATGATTTTAAGATTCCAGATTAAAAATCAATGTTATTAAAATAGCTTTAGAAGAACAACAAAAATCTAGTTTTGATAGTTTATGGGAATATGTAACTAAAAATCCTCAGAATTGGGTTTAATCGAAACAAATGTGTCAAGAAGGAAAAATCCTAAAACACTTTTCTGAAGGCGGAAAAGAACATTATTATTTTGATATAGCAATTAATGAATTTTTGGTTTTTTTCACGAAAGAAATTAGTCCATTGCTGAACGCAATTGAAAAATTGTTTTCAAAACAAAGTTATCGAACATCTTGATTAATATAATACATTTTTCTTTTTCCAGTGCACTGCACACAATCAGACTGTGGTTTAGGATGCACACGCCGCTGTTTTATCCAGACCACATACAAACACAGCTCAAAAACATCCGTCAACTTTAAAGACTAATATCTTCAAAATCGACTGCAACTGCAACCCAAAGCATATTATTTTTTAGTGGCTAATCATCTCAGTGACTAGTGCAACTGTTGCTATCATTGTCTGCGTTTTGTCGTCAGGTGGCAGCCACTAAACTTTCATAAACGGCATCCTAGCAGTTGTAGTTGACAGTGATTACTATTAGTTCTACGGATGACTCTTAAATTAATTTTATGCATTGGTAAAATGGTTCCACATATCACGCCCTTGTCGATGTAAAATAACGTTCTAGTCGTATAGAACAGGCGTAGATATGTTTCCGTTTTTTGCTCATTACAGTAATATTAGTGTGATTTCCTTTGTTTCAAATAACAATAATAATAAATGTTCAAATGCCTAATATTGATTCTGAGAAGATAAACATAGGATATTGTAAATTTATTTACTACGTAATATATTATTAAAATTGTGGATATTATTATATCATTATAAAAGCTATACTCTAACTCACCACAAACTATTATTAATGTTTGAATATTAAATGTAACTTTTATTTGTATATTGAGTACAACTTAAATAAATTAAAATAAACACATATATTTATGATCATTAGTACTTATATTTATACTTTGTTACACTGCATGTGTTTTTGTGTGTGCGTTTAGAGACACTTTTTATAGTATAAACTATGCTTCAATCTTTAACTTCAATATATGTTCTAGTAGGAAGTTGAATCTAATTGATACTTCGAACTTTTGAGGTGTAAAAACTAAAAATACACAGTACCTGCTTAATAATTGTGAAAAACAAACATTTTTACCAAACCCAATTTTTGATTCAGTCGATTTTGTATTTTGTTTTATCTAATTCGCAAAAGAATAGACACAGATGTTAAAACGTTTGAGCGTAAATCCACAATACGAGCATTTAAATTAAATTTGTCTAAATCTCGATGATTTAAAAAAATTTTTAATTAGAAATTCGTCAAATTTTTATTGTTCGTAGGTACCTAAGATTTGAAAATGTAATGCAATGTTCTACAAAAGTATTGTTTTCAATAATTATTAAAAAAGTTGAGTTAAAATCTACCAATAATTTTTATCAACATCAGAAGTAGAAATTTTTACAAAATTGGATTTTCGAGTAAAATAACAATTTTAGTTTTTTTTTGTTATAATTAAATATAAGTATAATTCATAGAATTTTTAAATATTCTAATTTTCTGTACTCAATATAATTATCTAAATATGTGCTACTCATTTTTAATTACCTACTTATCTGTAAGCATTTGAAATTTGAAATTATTAATTTATTTTTATTTTAAACCTTTAAGTGTTCATTAAAATGTTTAAGCTTTGTCGAAAATCAAATATGAGGTTCCTCATAAGTTATTATAACTATAATAAAAACATTTACTTATTTAGTATAAGATACCACTTAAGTTGACCTAATGGACAATTAAAAATATTAAAAATGCATAGACAAGGTTTTGTTTTATATTTATTTAAAGTCCAAATTTAGGCAAAACTCATTGAATTCAATTTTCAATTTGTAAAGAAGTGAAGGCATTATAAGTCATAGTTCTTACTGAAATATAAAAATCTATTAAGTTATATAAGTACATTTTTTTTTTGTATACATTTGAACTAAACATTTTTTGGAATTGAATATTTATAAACGAAGAATTATGGTTTAAGACGTTTAAGTTATCTTGTTGTAATTCAAAAATATTATCCATGTGAATTCTTTTATGCATATTATTATATTAGTAAATATTATTAAACATTTATTAAGCTGTTGCCTATTTATGTTACAAACATATTTAGTAAATCCATGCAGTTCTATGCTAAATCGGTTAACACACTGAGTAGTTAGTTCTTAGTAATGCACTGACATATTATCGTTTTTCGGTTACAATGATTTAAGTGTGCCAAATTACTCAAATTGTATTATTATATTTAGTGACTACTGACTAATTACTGATTGATAATGTGAACTCGATACCTGTTGTAGGCACAGCAAAGCGTTTAACTACTTCTTTTTTTTTAAATTTTACTCGAATATAACATAATTTAACAATATATAAATATGTACCTAATATGTATGAAAATTTTTTGACAGATAATTTGATATTTTGCATCCTAAATAATTGTACGTGTGACATGCATATATAATGTTATTTTACCTTAAACATTTGAAATTTCTAGGTTCTAGGTGAAATTTCTAACCTAGAACTGTTAACTAGTTATTTTAAAAATGATCAGGCAATTTCGTTAAATTATTAAATTACTAAAATTATATAACATATAAAAATAATTAGTAGGGTTGTGAATTTAATGTACTAAAAAACCTTAAAAAATGTATTAAAAATGTCAAAAATATGCACTTAAATGCAAAATATGCACTTAAAATGCAAAAAAAAAATTAATATAAAATGCCAAAAATTATACCATAAAATGTATTAAAAATGATTTTTAATTTAATTTTTATATTTATATTAATATTGGATACAGGATATTAAAAATTAGTACAATAAAGTGTTTAAAAAGTATTTAAAAAAAAAAAAATAGTAAAAATTGTTGATTGAATTTGATTTTACGATATATGACAATAACTTATCTAGTTGTCTAGCAATTGCCCTATTTTATCGAATCGTTATCTTTACCTAACCCGTATATAGCGTATGACTTGTGTAAAATATTATTTAATAAAATATAAATTTTGACATAATATATACAGCCCGTGTAAAATAAAAATAAAATGTTTTCAAACAAGTCAATCGACAAAATTTGATTAAAAATACTAGAAAATGAACTAAAAAAGCAAAATATGACCTAAAAATGCGAAAAAATGACCTAAAAAATTTAAAACGTCAAAAATATGCAAAATAAAAGTTTCATAGATGAATTCGTTATTACATAATTCAAATTATGTAATCACAAAGCTATGTTTTACAATTACCTAAAAAAATGCACTTTCCTATGAATTCACAGCCCTAATAATTAGGTACTTAAACACGTTATTATACAAGCACATATGACTTCCTAAAATGTAAATAATATATAAACTAACGTTTAGCCACTGAGAAGTTAAAAACGTATTTCAGTGATCTTAAAGTCATAAAATACAACAATAGGTAATTAAAGTAAAATGTATAATAGCTATATGTTACAGTTTATGAGTTATTACATTTTATTTGAATAAATGTGCTTTTCGATTTCAAATTTTAATATTGGCTACACATCAGGTTTTTTAGGTATTGTATTCTAAATGATAAACGTTATTATTAATTATAGAATTATTATTATCATTATTATTTATATTTATTAACGGTTGTTCTTATTAATATTAATATTTTGACAACTATTATTATAAACATTACTATGCCATCAATACAATAATATTATTATTGTATTCTACCAAAAATGTTTGTACTTTGTATGGAGACTTCTATGATAACATACAAACGTTCCTACTAACACAACTAAAAAATTCTCTATACAACCATAAACTTTAATAAATGTGGTATTATTTATCATTTTGTATGAAGATGAATAAAATCAACTTATTAATCAACAAACCACACGTTAAAGTAACTTAAGTTATAATTCTAAATCAACAATCTTTTAAGAATTATATAATTATTATTTATTTTGTACAATCATTTTATTAGCCATATTATAAAAATAAATATGTTGTTAAATGTATTTATATTTTTATTAAAATACAAGTATAGTTGTTTGGGTACAGCTTTTCTTTTAACTATTTCACATTCATAGTAAAGCAGTGAAAAAAAATATGTCTTATCTGCTCATGATATTATATTTTATCAGCCATTCTCACCATTATGTACATTTGCTTGCCTATAGTCTACGTCTCAGGCATCATAACAATAATAATACATTAGTCTTATTTAATTATAAAACACATTCGATTGCTTAAAATAAGATAATGAACATTACAAAATAATCCAGTTTCTTCAAAATTGTAAAAAAATATTATAAATATGTCATGCACATTTTTTACTATCACAACCAATTTAGTAGTTACACCATAAAATATTGATGACCACCTTTGCAGCTTCACAAAAAATAATCTATTAATATTTGATTTTCTCCGTGCCATAATCTAATTCTTCAAACCTATTTTTACATGACGTGTAATCTGAGTCCTTGAATATTTGTGCTTTTTACACTCTACAGTCTGAACCTTATTTATGCGAGTAATGACAAATTCAACTGAGTCCATTTACAATAAAGGCTGGATAATTTATGCAATTTTTATGTTTCCCAATCTTAGTTATTTTATATATTTAAGTATACCATTAATTTTCGTAATAATAATAAATTGCCTCAGCCATGCTTTAGAAGAGCTGTTGAAGATTTTCAATTAAAATCTATCGAACCTAAGTCCCACCCGTTTTGTCTAGCTTTTGGCCTTTTTTTTAGTGATTATTTGTATTGAGTGCAGCCTCTTTGAGTAATAATACATTCTTAGTTTTTGTTATTATAGTGATGGTGATGTTGAGGGATGGGGGTTAAGCCTAAGCTATGTATCTGCATATATTATATTATATAATATAATGACATAATATACCTCCTCTAACGGAAGCCTCTAAATAGTGGACACCTCCAAATAGGTGAGGTTTTTATAGGAAAAAAACTACAACACTACATATTGAACCCTCTGAATAACGGAAAAAATTTCAGTGACAATGAGTGTCCGATATTTAGAAATTTCACTGTATTAATAGTTAGGACACCGGTGTTCCCCAAAGATATACGTTCTTACTTCTAAGTATTTAAACAATGTTTAATCGTGACTATAATATTATGTCATGGCGATATCGGTAAATCGTAAACATTTATAAAATAACTAGTTCCTACCGTGCACTTCGTTGCCCGTTAAAAATGCCAATTCTACATGAAACTCGCTTGTGATAATGCGAGCAATATATTATCAGATAGAAGCAGTTACCGCTGCGGCGTCGGTTCAAAACTGAAAAAAAGGCTATAAACCTAAGGTTATGAATAATATGTTTTATTTTTTATTTTGATTGTGGACAAGCCGATAAGTGCAACTCAATCACCTGGCAGGCAACGTGTGGAAATTCTATTTGACGCAGCTAACCTGATCTGCCCGATTAACCAATGGCAACAAAAAACAAAAAAAAAATAGTAATTTCTACTAACAAATTAAGAAAGTTGAGAGGATAATTAGTTATTAATTAAAATAAACGTGTAAATTGTATAATACCATTATATATATATTGTACAGCATAGCGGCTCTCAGGTTTCCAGCTACCTGAACCTGATATTTTTGACCGTCAAATTATGTGTTCGACTTGCTAGGATTGCGAATTCTACAACTTAAGTTTGTACGTCTAATTGCTGGCATTTCAAAAAATAAAAATACTCCATCAAATCTTACCAAAACTCCTTAGAATATTAAGCTTGATTGCTTTGAACTAACCATGATGAACAAACAAATGATTATCAAAAAACTAATCGTACAATTTTTCATTACTTTTCAGATTGAATCGACTGTGAATTAATGTGCACTAAGAAATGATATATATATATACTATTTAGATAAAGATACATTGTCGA